GCTCTACGCCACCAGCCCCCACTCCCCTCCCAGAGTGAGGAGAGAACCCAGGAGTCCTGGCTCCCAGCCCCCCACTCCCTACACGCAGGGATTGTCCTTGACTCCCCACGGAGCCCCCACCCCCGCGCCCAGCCAGCCCCCGTGTGCAGCAGGCTGGGGTGTGCGGGGTTAATGCTCCCCCCTCCAGCGCCTCCCGCCAGGCTCACCCTGCTATTACAGGCCTGGCCCGGCTCCCCTGCACACGTGTTCCCAGCCGGCGCGGGCGGAGCCGCCGGCAGCCCCCCACGCAGGGCACTGCCATGGGGCCCAGGGCCACAGCGCTGGGGGCCCTGCTGCTGCTGCTGGGCCAGGACCCCTGGGTCCTCCCCCACCCCCAGTGCCTGGACTACAAGCCGCCCTTCCAGCCCCCCCAGCCCCTGGCCTTCTGCCCCGAGTACTCCGCCTTCGGCTGCTGCGACGGCCGGCGGGACGCCCGGCTGAGCGCCAGGTTCCAGGTGCTGGGCAGCTTCCTGGACCCCGCCGGCCTACAGAGCTGCGGGCACTTCCTGCGTGACCTGGTGTGCCAGGTGAGCGGGCGGGGGGGGGGGGGCTGGTGGGGGAGCGGGGCGGTGGGATGGGGGGGGCGGTCAAGGGAACTCTGGCCCCGATGTCAGGTTTGCTGGGGCTCTGCCCCTCTCCCGTTTCACCCCCACGTACAGACATGGGGGAGCCCTTTGAGCCCTGGGGGCCCTGTTCACTTGCCCCCGCATCAGCCTGGGCGGCCCCATTAGCAGTGACTGCACGGGGGGGGGGCAGGGGGGCAGTGGGGGGCTCCAGGCTGGGCTAGAGACGCTGGTCCCCAGCTCCCCAGCTCCCAGCCTGGGTGCCCAAGTTCCCGAGATGCGCCTCCCCCAGCTGCCCTGGGCTCCTGGGGAGGGGGGACACGTACAGCGCCAGGCACCAGGCCGCATCAGGCTGCTGCCCCATATGCCTGGCGAGGGAGCCAGGGGACCCCCAGCAGCTCCGTGGGACACGTGCCCAGCTGGGTGCCCTTGGCACCCCCTCCCCGCGGCTCCAGACGGCTCCAGGCCTGGCCCAGCCCTCCCCACATCCTGTCTAGGCTGGGACATGGGTGACCTCACCCGGCGGTTCTAGCTGGGAGGCTACACGTGGGCCCATTCCCAGCCTGTCCCCAGCCCCCCACCCCTTGGAGGTCTGGTCTCAGCAGGCCCGGCATGAACAGAACCCAGGAGTCCTGAACCCCCGCCCCAGCCACCAGACCCCACACAGCCCTTCAATCCAGGGGTCTGGGAGCCCGGACTCCTGGGTTCTCTCCCCGGCTCCAGGAGGGGAGCGGGCTCTGGTGGCTTAGGGCAGGGGGGGTTGGGAGCCCGGACTCCTGGGTTCTCTCCCCAGCTCCGGGAGGGGAGCGGGCTCTGGTGGCTTAGGGCAGGGGGGGCTGGGAGCCCGGACTCCTGGGTTCCAGCTAACCCCCTGCCCCGCCCCTGCAGGAGTGCTCTCCCTACGCTGCCCACTTGTACGACGCGGAGGATGTGAGCTCCCCGGTGCGGGCGCTGCCCGGCTTGTGCCCCGCGTACTGCACGGCCTTCTGGCTGCGGTGCCGCTCCGTGCTGAGCCTCCTGACCGAGGACCCTGCCAGCCTGGCGCTGGAGGGCGACCGCGCCCGCTTCTGCGGCGCCCTGGAGCTGGGCGACCCCACCTACTGCTACCCGGCGGTGCTGGGCAGCACGGCGCTGAGCCAGGGGCTGGGCCGGGTGCGGGAGGGCGCCCGCGGCTGCTTGCAGCTCTGCCTGCGGGAGGTGGCCAACGGGCTGCGTAACCCCGTGGCCATGGCGCACGCCGGGGACGGCTCCCACCGCTTCTTCGTGGCCGAGCAGCGGGGCTGCGTCTGGGTCTTCCTGGCCAACGGCTCACGGGCCGCGCGTCCCTTCCTGGACCTGCGGGCGGCCGTGCTCACCTCGCCCTGGGCGGGCGACGAGCGGGGCTTCCTGGGCCTGGCCTTCCACCCCCGCTTCCGCGCCACCCGCACCTTCTACGTCTACTACTCCGCCCGCGCCGGGCCCCACGAGACCATCCGCGTCTCCCAGTTCCACGTCTCGGCCCACGACCCCAACACCGCCGACCCCCGCTCCGAGAGGTGAGTGGCCTCCCGCCTGGGCACTCCTGGGGGCAGAACCCAGGCGTCCGGGCTCCCAGCCCCCCCATCCCCCCCACTCCTGAGCCAGCCCCCTGTCATGCAGCTCCTTCCTCCCCGCTCCATCTGCCCCACCGGTTCGGGGTGCCCCCCCTTCACCCGGCTCCTCTCCCTGGCAGGATCCTCCTGGAGGTGCTGCAGCCGGCGTCGAACCACAACGGGGGGCAGCTGCTGTTCGGGGCCGACGAGCTGCTCTACATCTTCACGGGGGACGGGGGGCGAGCGGGGGACCCCTTCGGAGCCTTCGGCAACGCCCAGAACAAGTGAGAGCCGGGGGTGGCGTTGGGGGGCCCCAGGGGCAGCAGGGGATGTTGGGGGGGCTGGGGGTAGCATGGGGCATTGGGGGGCCCCAGGGGCAGTAGGGGATGTTGGAGGATTCCGGGGGGCAGCATGGGGCATGAAGGGGCCCTGGTGGGGGCGGCATGGGACGTTGGGGGAGATGCCCCCTTGCAGGAAATTGGGGGGGGGGGGGGAGATTTTAGGGGAAATGTTCCTGGGCGGGCAGGTCTTGATAGGTGAGAACTTGGCTCCTTTCTGCCACCTGGTGGCCAAAGTGCAGACTGGCTGGCGCTGTGTGGGGCAGTTCCCCTGAACCCCTGATTTCCTGTCCCCCTCCCGGGGCCCTGATCCTCCCCCAGCTCTGCCCCTGCAGTGTCTGTTCCTGAACCCCCTGGGGTCCTGATCCCGCCGGTCCCAGCCCCCGGGTCTGTTCCTGAACCCCCTGGGGCCCTGATCCCCCGGCTCTGCCCCTGCAGTGTCTGTTCCGGAACCCCCTGGGGTCCTGATCCCCCCGGTCCCAGCCCCCGGGTCTGTTCCTGAACCCCCTGGGGCCCTGATCCCCCGGCTCTGCCCCTGCAGCGTCTGTTCCCAGCTCCCCTGCCTCTCTCCTAGGTCGTCTCTGCTGGGCAAGGTGCTGCGGATCGACGTGGAGCCAGGGGCCGACGGCCCCCCCTACCGCATCCCGCCCGACAACCCCTTTGTGGGGGAGCCTGGGGCCCGGCCTGAGGTCTACGCCTACGGGGTGCGGAACATGTGGCGCTGCTCCGTGGACAGGGGCGACCCCGCCAGCGGTGCCGGGCGCGGGCGCATCTTCTGCGGGGACGTGGGCCAGAACAAGTACGAGGAGGTGGACGTCATCGTGCCGGGCGCCAACTTTGGCTGGCGGGCGAAGGAAGGGTTCGCCTGCTATGACCAGGCACTGTGTGCCAACGCCTCGCTCGGTATGGCCGCGCCGAGGGGCACCATGGGCCTGACGGGCCTCTCCCCTTGGGGGGCATCATGGGCCGGACGGGCCTGTCCCTTCGGGGGGCACCGGCTCCCATCCGGCCCCAGGCAGGGACTGGCTGGCTCAGGGGGGTGGGAATGGGGCAGGGGCCTGTCCCTTCAGGGGGGCACTGTCTCCACCCAGGCCCAGGTCAGGGGACCGGATGGCTTGGGGGGGGAGGGGGCAGGGAAAGGACTTTGGGACCTGTTACTCTGGGGTCCCAGGTACAATAAACCCTTGTGGGCCCCCCTACACCCCCTTGGTGCCAGCACCGTGGGGCGGGAGAGGGAGGCTGCATCGAGCAGGGGCCGTGGGGGTTGCTGCCCCCTGATCCCCAGCTGAGCTCCTCCCGCGCCGTGTCTTGCAGACGACGTCCCCCCCATATTCGCCTATTCGCACGAGCTGGGGCGCTCGGTGACGGGGGGCTACGTGTACCGTGGCTGCCACAGCCCCAACCTGCGCGGCCTCTACATCTTCGGGGACTTCATGAGCGGGTAGGTTGGGCCCCTGGGACGGGCCCAGGGAGAACAGCCTGCTACTGCTGCAGGCTAGGGGGAGCACTCCGGTAGCACACGGCGCGGGGAGTCATACCCTGCTGGGGACCCATCCGGGGGGCTGTGTGGGCACGTGTCCATGGCCCACAGGGCTATGGGGCTGCCCCCTAACTGCTCTCAGGACGTCTCCCTGACCAGTGTGCCCCACGGATGAGGGGGATTTTCTGCATGGGACACAGAACCACCCCCCCTCCCCCGGGACAGACTCTGCCTTGTGGGGATGTGGGGAGGGGGAAGTTCCTGACCCGGAGCGCCCAGGGGGGCTGCAGGGGGCAATACAACTGTCCCCACGGCTCCTATGGAAGGGGGTGGGTACAGCCCCCCCCCATGGCTCGTGTTGGTTACTGACCCCCATCCCCATGGCTCCGTCTCCCCCCAGGCGCTTGATGTCGCTGCGGGAGGAGGCTGGCTCCGGGCACTGGCACTACAAGGAGGTGTGCATGGGCCAGGGCCAGACCTGCGCCTTCCCCGGCCTCCTCAACCACCACGTGCCCCACATCATCTCCTTCGCCGAGGACGAGGCCGGTGAGCGGGGGGGGCACAGCCAGGACAGCAAGGGGGCTGGCTGGGACCCTGGCAGCCTAGAGCCAGCGCTCCACCAGGACGCCTGGGTTCTCGCCCCGGTGCTCGGAGGGGTCTGGGGTCCCATGGGGGCTGGGAGCTAGGACTCCTGGGTTCTCGCCCAGGTGCTGAGAGGAGTTTGGGGTCTGGTGGGGAGAGTGGGGGTTGTGAGCCAGGACTCCTGGGTTCTCGCTCCGGTGCTCGGAGGGGTTTGGGGTCCAGTGGGGGTTGTGAGCCAGGACTCCTGGGTTCTTGCCCCAGTGCTGGGAGGGGTCTGGGGTCCAGTGGAGGAGAATGGAGGGGGTAATGCCGGGAGCCAGGACTCCTGGGTTCTATTCTTGTTGCTTCCACAAACTTGTGGCCTCCCTCCCGTGCCTCAGTTTCCCCTGAGGGGAGGACTTGGTGGCCAGTTACTAACCCCGCTGTCCCCGCAGGGGAGCTCTATTTCCTCGCCACGGCCATCGCCAGTGCAGCCGTGCCGGCTGGGATCTTGTACCGGATCGTGGACCCCTCCAGGTACCTACTGTCCCCCCCTTTGCCCGCTGGCCCTGGCAGGTTCATGGGCAAGGCGTGGCCCCGTCTCACTCTGACATGGCTTGGCTGGCTCCCAGCATGCGGGGGGGGGGCTGTGCACGGGCCCCCTGTAACGGGTGTCTCTCCCCGCAGGCGGGCGTCCCCCGGACAGTGCGGGATCAGCCCCGTGCCCGTCCCCATCCAAGGGAAGCTGATCCACTTCCGCCCAACACAGAGTGAGTGCGGGGGGACCGAGCCGGGGCGGGGGTCACCACTGCAGCTGGCTGAGGTCTCTGGGAAGCTGCTGGGCCATTGGGAGGGGGGGCAGGGGGCTGGGAGCCAGGACTCCTGGGTTCTCTCCCTGGCTCTGGTGCCGACTCACTGGGGGGGTCAGTTCTGTACGTTTGTTCTGTAAATGGGGGATAAACGTGGTGGGGGGCAGAGCTGTATCCCAAATGAGGCCCCCCTTCCTGTTGCAGAATTCATCACACCGGCCCCACCGCCCGCAGTGACCACCCCACGGCTTGGCACCGGCTCAGAACCAATGGGAACAGCTGGACCCCCCCCGGCGCCCGACCCCCCCCCCCCGGGCCACAGCCCCCCCTGCACAGGCCCAGAGCCCTCGGCCCTGCCCACCCCTCGGCCCAGCCCAGCTGTACCTGCCAGGCCCCCGGCTCGCCCAGACTGTGGGGTGCTGCAGGCACTTCCCACACCCCGGCCAGGGCCGAGCCTGCCCCCCACCACCCCCAACTGGTACCAGCAGCTGCTGGAGCGTCTGGAGGCCAAGAGCAGCCCACAAAGCCGCGCCTCCCAGCCTCCGAACCCCCACCATCCCCCCAGCACTGGGCCACCCCCCACGACCCACCCAGCCCCCAACCCCCATCTTTCCCCCATCCCCTGGCTGCCCCCCAACCCCCATCTTTCCCCCAGCACGGGGTGGCCCCCCACAACCCACCCAGCCCCCAACCTCCACCTTTCCTCCAGCCCCCATCTTTCCCCCATCACAGGGTCACCCCCCACAACCTCCCCAGCCCCCAACCCGCAGCTGCCCCATAGAACGTTGCCACCCCCTGCCACCCCCCACCCTCCCAGGCGAGCGGCTGGGCACCACCCCAGGAAGAGGGGACCCCGGAGGCGGCTGGGGGCCAAGGGCCCCGCCCGGCAGCTGCCCCCTGGCACGGTGCGGCTGGTGCACAGGGGTGCAGCGCCTGGGCGGGGCCGGCTGGAGATCCTGGTGGGGGCCCAGTGGGGCACAGTCTGCGACGATCGGTTCGACGGGCGGGCAGCCGCTGTGGTGTGCCGTCAGCTGGGCTACGGGCAGGCGGTGAGGGTGGCGCGCCGGGCGGAGTTCGGGCAAGGGGCCACGCTGCCCATCCTGCTGGACGACGTGCAGTGCCAAGGCTCGGAGCGCAGCCTGCTGGAGTGCCGGAGCGCCCCCCCCCGAGCAGCACGACTGCGCCCACAGCGAGGACGTGGGGGTGGTGTGCGGGGACCCGGAGCGCCAGGAGCGGCCGAGGGGGAGCAGAGGGGCCCAAGGCCTGTAACTTCTGCCTCCTTCTTGCCGCCCGGGGCTCTGGAGGGGGGCGGGGTTTGGGGGCTGGGCTGGGTGGGGGTGACAGGGCCCAGCCCCCCCAGCCCCTACTTCCCCCCCAGCTACAGGGACCTGGGAGCCACGTGGCCCAGAGGCCCCCACCCCCCCCGGGACAGCTGTTCAGGGTTCCTGCTTCCCTTTTATGGTGGGGGGCTTAGAATGGGGGGGCTTCTACCCCCACCACTGGGGGGGGTCGGTTCTGACAGGGGGGGTGGAGAGCCAGGACTCCTGGGTTCTATCCCCACTGCTGGGAGGAGGGGTCTGTGGAGAGCCAGGACTCCTGGGTTCGATTGTTGGCTCTACCCTGCCTTGAGCAGGGACAGGGCGCGTAGGGCCAGGGCCGGGTGAGAACAATACCATGCCACCAGCTCCTTCCAGCAATGTTTTATTCAGACTCCTGGTGACCATCCGTGCTGGGTGCCATGCCCCCCGCAGCTGGCACACCCGGGGCGGGGGGGGGGGGGGAATTCCCAGGGGCGCGTGTTTGGGCCAGTGCCCCGGGGGTTCCCCCTCGGGACCCTCTCCCCTCCCCCCCCCCCCCCCCGTGCCCCCCAGGCTGATTCCCGGGGCAGCAGAGGGCGCTGCCACTCGACACGCGCTGCCACTCGACACGCGACGCCCTGTCAGGGCAGGGTGGGAGGGGCCATCACCCCTCGTGGGCCATGCCCGTCTTGCTACGCTCTGTCCTGCACCTGGCGCCATGGAGTGGCAGCAGCAGCCGGGCAGAGACCCTGGCAGATGCCCACAGGGGCCAGGCCCATGTGGTGGCCCCAGAACCCTCCCTGAGCGGTGCCAGGCAACCCCCCCATGACTGTTCAACCCGGCTCCTGGCAGAGTCCAGCTGCCGTCGCATCACAGCCAGGCCCCCCAGGCCTGGGACACTGGGCCCCACACCCAGCACCGCTCCCCACCCCCTCTGGCTCCTGCCAAAACACCAGAAAGTCACCCCACCCCAAAGGCAGCACCTTGCAGGCCCTGCCGGGGATCCCCGCTCCCAGGGCTGGGCCCCCCAGGGAAAGGGGCTTTTCACTCCCTTGCGGGTGCCCCGTGACAGGCTGCCTCTTGCGGGAGGGGCTGGAGGCAGCCCCCTGCCCTGGGCTCGGGGGAGGGTGGCTCAGAGCTGGTGTGGGTGGAGGGGTACTGTTTTTGGGGGCAGGAGGGGCGTTGACCCCAAGCCTTGGGCATGTACAGGATTTGCTCAACCTGAGCCTGGGCCAGGCCCCAGCACGTTGCCTTCCCCCTCCCTCCGTCAGCCAGAGCCTGCGGCGCCGGAGGTGACGGCCCAGGCTGGGTCCAGCGCAGCCGGCTCCAAGGGTCCCCAGCTCGGCAGGGCTGCCTGGGGTGGGTCTGGGAAACAGGGCAGGTCCCAGGCACCTGCCCTGGGATAAAACAGGGCGAACGGCCGCTTAAAACAGGGACGTGTTGATTAAAACCCTGCGCGAGCTCCCCCACAACATGCAGCCAGGAGCCGTGCAAGAGCCCCCAACTCCGCCCGCTGCCCGGGCCCAAGCCAGAGCCTGCTTCAGACACAGGCACGGTCCCTGCAGGGAACTGCCCCGCAAACAGAGCCCCCTCCCCGCGCCAGCCAGCGCCCGCACCCAGGGCAGGGCTGACGCTATCTGCTGATGGAGGAGTAGTTGGCACGGCTGCCCGTGTTGAGCTGGGCACTGGCAGGTGGGGGCTTCGCGCCCGGGGCCAGCTCCTCCGGCGTCCCCTCGGACTCCAGGATGGGCTCCTGGTCGCTGTGCTGATCGGCCGGCAGCAGGAGGAGGTCGGTGAGGCCGTGCAGGTCGGCCGCCTTGTGGAAGGTCTGGAGGACCAGCAGCACGGCCATCAGCCCCAGCAGCAGGTACACTGGGAGAGAGCGAGAGGGCGTCAGCCCCTGTGGGGACCTGGGGTCAGCCCCTGGAGCTATAGCGGCGCTGCCCCCGCTGGGCCAGGCCCCGGCACACAGCAAGTAGGGAACAGAATCCAGGAGTCCTGCCCCCCCCCCCCCCCCCCCAACCACTAGTCCCCACTCCCCTCCCAGAGCCGGGAACAGAACCCAGGAGTCCTGGCTCCCAGCCCCCCTGCTCTCACCCACCGAACTCCAGTGTACCCTAGGTAATGTTCAGGATGTAGCCGTCCCCACGGGCCATCAGCCCGGCTGGCTTGAAATGACTCTAACAGACACACAGACGCTGCACCCAAGTCTCCCCGGACTGTGCCCTGCGAGGCTACAGGGGCCCCCTCTCCCCTCCCCCACCCAGGTACCTGCCCCCTAGACACCTGTGACAAAGTGGGGGTGGGGGGTTTCCCGTAACCTTTTGCATGAGCACTGTGTGCCTCGTTTTCCCCTGTGTATGACACAGGGACCTCGGTGGTGGGACAAGGGGGTGTGGTTTTTGCAGGGACCCAAGCAGGCAGGTGCGTGGGCCGGACTCTCTAACCTGGCAGCTGCGCCAGAGGTGGGGACAGTGACCGGTTTGCCCAGGAGGAGGAGGGGCAGCAGGTGTGTCAGGGGCTGGGCTGGTCAGGACTGTGTGTGTGTGGGGTAGCCCCTCCCCACCCCCCGGCCTTTTTGTAGCTTCCTGCTGCCTGTGCTAACGAGTTCTGTCCTCCGCAGTGTCCTGGTGACTAATAAACCTGTTCTCCACGCTGGCTGAGTCACGGCTGACTGGGGAGTGGGGGGCAGGGCCCTTTGGGGGGTGCGAGGCTCCCCCAGGCGTCCCTGTGGGGGACCAGGGGGCTGAATGCTCCCAGGTCAGATCCAAGCAGGCTCCTTGCCCTGGTGCCAGTGCCCTGAGGGCAGACGCACCAGGATGAGGGTCCTGCCTGACTTCGCTCGGAGCGCGCCCATGAGAACCCCCCCAGCGGAGCTGCCCCCCCAGCCCGCTGCTCACCGGTGACTGAGACCTTGTAGAGCGCCCGCAGCTTCTGCCCGGGCTGCTCGCCCGGCACGTAGTCGCCCAGCCCGATGGTGCACAGCGAGATGAAGCAGAAGTAGAAGGCGTCCAGGTAGCTCCAGGTCTCCTCCAGGGTGCTGAAGACGGCGGCCGGCAGCAGAAAGAAGGTGACCAGCACGGCCAGCAGCAGCAGCAGGAAGTGGGCCCGGGCCAGCGCCTGGTGGCTGTAGCCAGACCGCAGCTGCAGGTACTCGAGGGGCCGGTGGGTGAAGAGCCGGGCCAGGCGCTGCACCGTGGCCGTCAGCACCAGCATGGTGAAGGGCACCCCCAGCAGGGCGTAGAAGATGCAGAAGGCCTTGCCGGAGTCTGAGAGCGGCGTGGTGTAGCCGTAGCCTGGACGGGGGGGGATGACACGACAGGGAAGAGGATGTTACCCCCACGTGTGTGTAGGGGTCTCCCCATGGGAAACTGAGGCACAGACAGGCAAAAGAACTATGCTTGGCATCCCACAGGGTCAGTGTCAGAGATGAGGAGAGAACCCAGGAGTCCTGGCTCCCAGCCCCTCCTGCTCTAACCACTAGTCCCCACTCCCCTCCCAGAGCTGGGGAGAGAACCCAGGAGTCCTGACACCCAGCCCCCCCTGCTCTAACCACTAAACCCCACTCCCCTCCCAGAGCTGGGGAGAGAACCCAGGAGTCCTGGCACCCAGCCCCCCCCTGCTCTAACCACTAAACCCCACTCCCCTCCCAGAGCTGGAGAGAGAACCCAGGAGTCCTGGCTCCCAGCTCAGCCTTGCCCTGTGCAGCCCCTGGCTCAGTCCAGCAGGTCCCAGGCTTCGTACCCCCCCTGGGCTCTGCGTGAGGCCGGCTCCGGGAACAGCTCCAGCGCGGGGAACTGGGTAATGGGATTTCACGCCCAGGTGGGTTCTAAGCCGGGCAATTAGGCGGCTGCCGGGGGCAGTGAAAGGCTCCGTGGGGGGCGGGGGGAGGGGGGGCGGCAGCGCCGCACCCGCCGCTAATCCAGAGGCAAAGCCAGGGCTGCGTCCCCAGGCCTTTCCTACCCCAGGGACTGGCCCCGATCCGCCACTCCCCACTCCGGGCAGGGCTCCAGGCAGCATTTGCAGCCTGGCTGCTTGACCCGGGGTCCAGACAGGCTGAGCGCCCGGCCCCTTAGTCAATCCGCACCAGGGGCTGGGGCCGAACACCAGGGAGACACCCGTGCTGTGGGGGTGAATCCGGGTTGGGGGGGGGGGGGCGGGGCGAGGCACACGGGAGAGCCCCGGCCCCCCCCCCGCGGGCCCGGGGCCCCAGCCCCGAAGCGGCCCCGTTAGGGCCTTCCCCGCCTCAGCACCCCCCCTTGGAGACAGACAGACTCCCCTCCCAGCTGTCAGGGAGCTGTTTACTCGGCGTGTTGACCCAAGGCAGGCATGGGGCAGAGTTCGCTCTGCGTCAGCCGGAGCCTCCCGACCTCCCTGCCCTGGGATCCCCCGCGCGGGCAGGCTGCCTGGGGACCCAGGAGTCCCGCCGGGAGTACGCTCAGGCCGGCTGTGGGCAGCGGAGGGGCTGATGTACTGACAGAGCCAGACAGTTCCCAGCTTCAGCACCAACCCTTGGAGACAGACAGACACGGCGGGACAGACAGGCATGTCTACCCCCCCCCCCCCCCGCGCCATGCAGCAGACACCCGGAAGGGAGGCACCACAGGACCATCCCCCCTGGGACGGTGCCCCGTGGTACCCAGGTCCAGCCCAGCTGTGCGGTCACACAGCTGCCTCAGGCCCCCAGGGCACCAAGCCCCATGGGCAGAGCCCCCGCCATGGCGTCACTGGGGCCGGGCGCTGGTAACGCACACGCCCTCGGCCTGGCAAGCAGGACTGCCTGGCTCGGTGCCAGCCCCAGGCAGGGCCAGAACGCCCGGGCCCAGCTCAGGTCCGGGTTAACCCCCTCCCTGCCAGGGCTCGGCTCAGAACCCCCGGTACAGGTGCGGGGAAAGAGTCCCAGAGTCCCGGGCCACCAGCACCAAGAGCCCCCGGGCCGGCTACAGGGCGGGGGGCGGCGCTTGCCCCACA